TGTGTGTGTGTGTGTGTGTGTGTGTGTGTGTGTGTGTGTGTGTGTGTTTGTTTCAAGTGGGTCTCCTCTCCTAGCTTTAGAAGGAGAGAGGGGAAGGGAATGATAGAAAGGGAGAGAGAAAGAGAAAGAGAGGGAAAGAGAGAGAAAGAGTAAGAGAGATGGGAAGAGAGAGAGAGGGAAAGAGAAAGAGAGAGGGAAAGAGGAAGAGAGAGAAAGAGAGAAAGAAAGAGAAAGAGAAGGAAGAGATAAGAAAGAAAAGAAAGAAAAAGGGGAAAGAAAGAAAAAGGGAGAAAGAAAGAGAAAGGGATAGACAAAGATGGGATGGAAAGAAGGGAGAGAAAGAAAGAGAGAGCAGGAAGGAAGGCGGGAGGAGAGGGGGAAAAAGGAGAGGGAGGAAGGACACAAACCCTAGCTTCAGAAGACTCTTTGAAATAGAACAGGAATCTAGGGCTAGAAGGGATCTTCTTCTAGTCCAAGAGTTTTCAAAGTTTGCAAGTTTAAGACTTGTAGACTTCAACTCCCAGAATTCCTGAGCTAACATGACTGGAGGAGGAATTCTGGGAGTTGAAGTTCACAAGTCTTAAAGCTGTCAAGTTTGAAGATCCCTGCTCCAGCAGGAGATCCTTACAGAATCATAGAACAGCAGGGTTAGAAGGAACATTGGAGGCCATCTAATCCAACCCCCTGCTCCAGCAGGAGACTTTATATCATCTGGAATCTGGATTATTTTGGTGCTGAAGGGGACATTAACAAATAAAGAAATATAGTAAAATATATTATAGCATTAAGTAGAGAGCTACTCTATAGGCATTTGTTATCTCACTGTTGTAAAAAAGATTTCCTTAACCTTTTACTTGTTGTAAAACAATTATAAACATATGCCTGCAATCAGTTACACCCCTCTCCTATTAAGACACATGATTGTCCCATATAAATCAATCTGAATTCATCTGTTTTCCTGGATTGATATATTTCACCCCATGGGAATGAAGTGTACCTCTCTGGGAATGTAAAAACCTCCATTCCACACCTTTGAAGTGTGCTGTTAATAGCCTCCTTAAGTGGTCAATTGTGATCAATTAAGATGGACAGTAGGAGAAGAGATAGGGAGACATTTGTCTTTGGCAGGAAAGATGCAAATCTAAGTTAGAGAGTTTTACATTGCAGTTACTCCACTTCTAAGAATCTTAAAGGTACAAGGCATTTTTCTGTATTTTGTAGAATTTTCCTCCCATGTCTCTTGTGATGTGCTAGGATCTTCTTCCCAGATCTTTAACTTTAATCAAAGAATAAAAGTCTGCTTTCTTTGATTCATTTTTGGCTTACGAGTACTGCCAGACCTTACAGTGCCTCTAACAGAGGAAAATTGGCAGAGGAGTTTATTAGGACAAGGCTGCCATGCAGAGGAAGCAGAGATAGTCTTTCACTTATGACCACAATTGAGCCCAAAATTTTGGTTGCTAAGCAAGAGCATTGTTAAGTGAGTTTCACCATATTTTACTCAATCCATGACATCTCCTGGATCTAATGGTCATATGCAGACCAGGGAAGTAAATCTGAAGGCGTGTGTAATGTTCCAATATACAGAAGTTATAGTTAAATGTGTGGCAGAAAGTGGACTATTGGTGTGTTTTTCCAAACGCAGTGAGGTTGAATGTATATAGTTTTAGAAGAGCTCTGTGTGTGGTTGTGTGTGTGTGCATGTGTACACACAGTATATATAGTAGATAGTGTATCTTTTTGTGTGCCTATACACACACTATACCATGTAATATTTATGTACACATATGGCATATATACATAGGATTAAATAGTGTATTTTGAATGTTCAGTAGTAGTAAATAAATAGAGAGGGAAATTGTATCTCTGAGGTGAGGAGAGGCCAGGCAAGGCACCCCTTGACATGAGTGATGTCAAGTTGGCCACTCCCACCCAGTCACATGACCACCCAGCATGCCCACCCAGCCACATGACCATTAAGACACATGACCACCAAGCCACGCCCACAGAACCGGTACTAAAAAAAATTGAATCCCACCTCTGGTGCATATGAAAAAAAATTGATGGATTAATTACTTCAGAAACCTTTAAAAATATAAATTTTATACAAAATCATCAATTGTGAGACTTTTTCATGAAAAACTTATAGAAAGCATTGTAATTAATTTGAAGAAAATATTGATGGATTGCGAACATTTAAAAACAGGCTGCCTATTTAAAGATACTGATCAATTAAAATTTCTAAATTATCTGGAGCCAGATTATTAGAACATTGAAGAAGTGATAGTTCCATGGAGAGCAGGTGAAGAACAATTGGTTGCATTTGGTGAAATTTTCAATTATGAAATGAATATTAATGATTATTGTGATTTAATAGAAAATGTACTAAAAGATTCAAAAAATTATACAATTCCTTGCAGCATTAAAAAGTCAAGAGATATTATTAAAACTATTGCAGTCAGTTCAGCAGAGGCGGAAAGGGGCTTCTCGCAGATGAACATAATATGTTCAGAGGGCAGAAGTCACCTTACAGTTTCCATTATTACAAACCTCTTGACCATCAGTCTAATTGGCTTACTTCTGCAAGAATGGGACCCTATTCCTATAGTAAAGAAGTGGATACGGGCACATCACACAGCTGATGATGCTCGTGTTAAACGCAAGAAATCTGTAACTCAGGACGATAATAGAAAAGCAATTTGGCAGTACTTTAAATAAGTTTTATTGTTTTTTGTAAAGTTTTGTTATGTAATAGTTTTTGATTACTATTTTAAAATGTAACAATATAGTTTTTTGTACCTTTTTATTATTTAAGCATTAAAGACATGACATAATAAACTACCTTTTCTTTTCATATATCTTTTTTAAATACTTAGTCATTGGGACAAAGAAGTGATGTTGAGTTGGCCCCTCCAGCCTCCCTAGCTCCTTATACCTGCCTGGCCTTGCCCAGCTCTCCTCGTAGCTGCTGGGGCCTCACCTTGCCCTCCCCGTAGCTCCTCGTAGCTGCCTGGGCCTCATCTTACCCTCCCCGTAGCTCCTCGTAGCTGCCGGGGCCTCGCCCTCCCTGTAGCTCCTTGTAGCTACCTGGGCCTTGCCCAGCCCTCCTCGTAGCTGCCCGGGCCTCGCCCTGCCCTCTCCAGGGCTCCCCAGGCCTTGGAAACTGGCAAAAAACAGAAAACCTCAGTCACAAGAATGTGTGGGATGTTGTAACTGGTCATAAGTGTGTGTGTGTGTGTGTGTGTGTGTGTGTGCATGCATCGTTGTCAAAATACCAAAAACAGGTCAAGTAGCTCTGTGGAGGTCAGTCGTAAATTAGAACACTTGCTAAGCAACTGGCCATTAAGCAAGGACCGCTTACATTTGGTTTGCCAGTCACATGGCCACCTGGCCATGGCCACCCCAGTCACATGACCACTTAGCCACACCCAGTCACCAAGCCACACTCACAAATTAGGCCACGCCCACAGAACCGGTTGTTAAGAAATTTGAATCCCATCCCTATATATATAAAAGTGAAATACCACTCACGCATCATCACAAAATCTCCAGAACCGTAAAGCCTACAAACTTGAAATTTGGCATGTGTGATCCTCTTGGCTTCTAGGTGCTCACTAAGAAAGATTTTTCAAAATGATCATCGGAGCACTAGTATTTCTTATATTATTATTAACATGCTGTGATGCTAAGGAGTTCTACTCCCCCTCCTCACCTAAAAAGAAATATGTTCCAAATGCAAAACATGAGCAGAGGAGAGGAGTTTCAGTTTTAGTTTCACAGCGGAACCAGCTTTAACAGAATAGTTGAGCTAAGCCACGCCCAGGCTCCTTGCTGTCTCCTTGCTCACACAGCAAATACTATTTCAGTTTCCAAACAGCCCTCAACTCTCTCACACACTGACAGGACACTAGCCAGACGAATACCAATGAAGCCTGATCACATAGCTTTGTAGCGAAGCACGGGTATAGAGCTAGTAAAATATATTAAACAAAACTTACTTATGAATGGGTTCTGCACTAACAGTTCACATTGAGAAGATATCTCAAAATTAAAGACCTCTGCTTGGCACCAAACTGGATGTATACATATATGATTGTAAACTCACCAATAGCTGAAAATTTCTATCAATATTTTGTAAGCATTTAAAATCATTTCTTTCTTTTTTGATTGGGGATGGTTTTGAAAAATGTTATGAAATTGGGGAAAAAATGCAAATTGAAAAGTATTATTTAGAAAACATTTACATAGCCAGCCTCATTATTGAGAAAGCATCTCCCTCTTTCCTACTTCTGTAGATGTATTCTGAAGTTATTTAAACTGTATTATTAATTTAAAAATTGGAATTCGTATAACAATCGGGGTTCTTACATAACTCACACTCAATCCAGAGTAAGTAGGCAGCAACTGCAAGGACAAGAGATGGATGATCTGCTGGTGCAGGACTCCTCATGAGTCACAATGCAAGGAGAGGGCATGATATATTTACTTATCCAGTCATTAATTTAAAATATTTACATAACTGCTTCTTATGTTTTTTTGACAAACATCAGAGCAGTTCTTATATGACACTTGATTGAAACAAACATGAATTCAGCAGAATAAATTTTATAAACTTTGCCAATCCAGGCATTGCAGGCTTAATCTTCTCTTGATCCAAGAAAAACATGGAGATAGGGATAAATACTCTTGAGATCTGCAGAGGATGTGCCATGAAGATAAGAACCATACACGATGCATAATGCAGCTTGTTTGTCCTCCCTGAACTTTCATTTATGAATTTAGGATCATGGGAAAAGTGAAAAACAACAAAAAATACTTTTTTTTTTGTCTATAGCAGTGCTAAAAAGAAGGTGTGAACTTGCTGTTTGGAAAATACAATAAGACGTTCATAGGAAAAGCAATGCTCCTCTGCTACCACATTTCTTCCATCTTCTTCAAATCAGATTAAACCAGCTTAGATATCAGAAAAAAATAAAGCAATTAAAAAAAATAGATTTCCATACTTAAGAAAAGACAGAGGTATAGAATTTTCTGAGGTATAGAAAATTTCAGGATATACTGCAGCTCAACAATTACAAAACAGGAGAAGGAGCAAACAAGTGTAATTCTCTCAGCCAGACGATGCAAACTATGATAAATAAAAGTTGTCAAGGATTCTCTGTAGAGACAACAAGGAACAAATATGTGGCACATGGTCCTTTTTGCCATCCCCGCAAACAAATTAAGGAAAGGGAATCTTTTTGTAGCACCCCAAAAGTGAAGCTAACAGAATAACTGATAAAAACAGTCCCTTCAATCAAATAGTGCCACCTATTGGAGCCCGGGAAGCATGCCTGATCTTTGAAAGATCTCCAGATATTCTGCAAGCCCATTATGATTTGACTTGTTCTGTCAGGCCTTGCAGTACCATACCTGTGGATCGCTGTTGGTGACTTATGGATATTTGGATGCAACATATTTTATTTTATTTTTCTATTTTTACCATAAGCCAAAGTCACTTTGAAGTTGGAGACCACACAATCTAAATAAGAATATTAATATTAATATTAATAATTTTAATAATAATAATTTTAATAATAATAATAGTCATCATCATCATCATCATCATCATCATCATCATCATCATCATCATCATCATCTATAACACCACAAAAACTCAACATCTGCCTATCCAAGGTCCCTGAGAAGGACTTGATAGGTAGATAAAAATACCAAATCTAGCCTGAACATCTGGCTGAGTGTGCAACAAACCACAATAATAGGGCAGTGGATGTTGTAATAGTTAGAGGCAGCAAAATAGGGGAAAGTGAATTGGAGAAAAATCACAAAATATAAAGATCTGCAATTGTGACCCCAAAAAAGCAAAATAGTATCAAGAGTAATAGGCCCCTTGGGTTCTGTCCCAAAATATCTGCAACATTACTTGAACATAATCGCCATTGACAAAGTCACCAGTCAGTTGCAAAAGGCAGCTTTACTTGGACTGCTTGCATCCTGCATCTAACAAAAACATCTGTCTATTCCAGGTTCTTGGGAAAAACTCAATAGGTGGATAGAAAGCCAAAATCAGGCGAAACATCTTGTACTGTGCAACCAATAATAATAACTGGAGCGCCACTTGACCACCATTGGCATTGACAAATTCACAATTAGTCAATTGCAAAATGCAGGTTTACTTGTAATAGTTTACATCCTATGACAATACCTCTAACACCATAAAACATTAACATCTGCCTATTCCAAATCCTTGGGCAGAACCCCATATGTGGATAAAAATGTCAAATTCAGTCCAAACAGTTGGCTG